TAATTAGGATTTTATTTTAGAGTTGTATTCTATTAGGTAATTTCTTATTTGACAAGTCTTGGCCTCTAAGGAATTGTAATCCTTGTCCAACATGGAATTATGTTTGTAACTCTATAAATAGGTATATATGTTGTGGGTTGAGACTTAAGAGATTGAGGTAGAGAGACTCTGGAATTCGTACGAGAACAGAGTGAGTGGCTGAAATCTTGTAATCTCTAATTTTACACTTAGTAAAAACTTTCGCCGGATCCCGACCATGGACGTAGGCTGTTGCTGAACCACGTACAAATCTTTGTGTTCTTTGTGTGGTGTGTTTATTTTTCTGTTGTGATTCTTGATTCAACTATGGTTCGTTGCGTTTGTCATAACAATAATAATTATAATTTTTAATTTAATATTAAATAGTAAGTCAAAATTGGCATTTCACAACCCATTTAACGGGTCGGTCATAGGTTTGGGGGCATGTGTGGGGGTAAGTTGATAAGTTTTGTTAGTTCAGAGAGTTCTTAAATTTTACTGGGGATTTTATGCATGATTTTGAAAGTAGAGGGGAGGTTTTGTGATTTTAAAATGTATTATAAATAAAATAGTTAGAAAGAGAAGATAATTAGAAAAAAGAATTAGGAAAATAGTAGGGGGTTTTATGATTTTTCTTAGTATATGGGTGTTATATGACTGATTTTGAATAGCATATAGGTTTTTTTTTTTTTTTAAAAAAAAAATTCTTAAATTGATATTTGTGATACCCCCGGATTTCCGGATGCGGGTTGGCCAGGCCCACGCCCGATTACCCGAGGATATCAAAACAATTAGCAATAATCGAACACAGAATATAATGAAGATAAACATGAGTAAATAAAATTCGTTGGAAAGAAACTAAATGCAAATCCTTTATTGAAAACTTCAGAATAAATCTTATAAATAAGAACTAGTCTGTTACATCCAACTTCTCTAATTATAATACAACTCGGGAATCCATCTGGTGGACCCCTAATCAAAAGCCAATACTGGAAAGTGAACAACTAAAAAGAAGTCCACTGCTAAACCATGAAGAACCCCCTACATCGTCGGTAGAATGAGTAGTCATCTCTGCTCGGCACGAACAAGCTCTAAGACCTGGAACCGTCCGTTACCTGAAAAATAATAGTGGGTCAGGCCCACGAACAAGTTCTATCCTAACAACAATCCAAACAGAAACCCGATACGCAGATACATCCTAGACGTCTCAAACATATCTATATAGTCCGTAATAGATAAATACATATCCACACTACAGGACTCTTACCAACTATGCTGAGGGTCTCAACCTGAATAGAAGGTAACATGCAATACGCACCTGAGTGGGCATGACTACCTAAGCCTAACAGGGTATACCTCAACCAACATAGCTAGCTACGTATCCTACTGCATATACGCACCCTAACCGTCGACTATGAGACTCAAGCTCAAATCGCGGTACCATAATTTATATATATAAATTCCCATCCAAACCAATGTAGTGCCGCTCAACTGATTCGTTGCCATGACACGACATAAAATTAGGATTTATTGTTTTAATTAAACCCCTATCCATTCTAGGTGATACATGCACCCTAACCGTTGACTTTAAGACTAATGCTCTTGTCACGGTAACATAATGATATATTTAAAATCCATTCACATTCATCCATAAGAAATTCAGTAAGTCGTTCAGCTTATTCAACTGCACAGACTTAAGTATTTAGGGTGGATTCTGTTTTAATCATCCGAACCCTTATTCCAGTATAGGTAGGACTTTAGCAATTGGTGCTGTCCAAACCTAGTATGACACTGTCCCATACCGGTTCATACAATCCTCCATATCCATGTAAATTACCACATATATATAATAAGCAATTAATTTAAATCCAAAACCAAAGCCAAGTAATTGCAGCATCGTTTATACAATATTATAGCAATTTCAGTTCAAAACCCTAATCCAGTTGATTGCAGAATAATATATAAGATTTCATAATTGACATCCAAAGTAAGTAAATTACAACACCTAAATTAAAGTTTAGCAATTTACAGTCCAAACCAATATCCAAACCATTGTAAGAAACTGTTTAAAGTTTCAGTAATCTAAATCCAAACAGTTAACCATATAGTTGCAGGAGATGATTTAATAAATCAACAACTAACATCCAGAGCATACATAGACCACATCTAACACACCAATGACCCTATAATATATTTAAACCCATTTTATAAATATATTAAATCCCACTGGAATGCCTAAAAAAATAAGCTTAAGCATTTAAAACTTCATCCATCCACTAACCGTATACAATTGTACATAAGTGTTATACAGTTTGATCCGTTAATTTAGAATTAACCTTAAATCAATTTAGGGTCTTAATAACACCCAAAATTAACTATTTAATTCCCCCGTGAAGTCTCATTAAATTTCTAAAATTTAATCAAGCCATTTAGTTCCTTTCTCTATTAGTAGCGTACACCGTTGTATATTTTTACACTGCTTCATCCTTTATCTTAGAGACTTAAACCATACAACAATAAGTTTAATAACACTTAAAATTAACTACTTAGATCCTCTGTTAAGTCCCTACAGTTCATTAGCATCACTCAGAAGCTCAAATAGTGCTCAAAACACCAAACAGAGCCCTAGAAAACACTTTATGGACGTAAAACAAATTGGAGCCGGCTCTTGGAATGGAAGAGCCGGCTCTTCCCCTATTGGAGCCGGCTCCAATTCCCTAGGAGCCGGCTCTTGCTGAAGGGGAGCCGGCTCTTGACTTTCTAGAGCCGGCTCTCTCCCTCTTGAGAGCCGTCTGTCCGTTTGTGACTTCTGCGACCTTCTTCTTCAACGCCGGCCGCTTCCCACCCGTTCTATTTAGTTTTAGACTGTTCCCAAGGGTCCTAACTATGTCCAGTATAATCTCCATGGAGTGTTTACAACAGTTGAAATCAAAAACAAAAACTACAAGTTCCACAGACAAATCATGCTTAGGAAAAACAACTACTGTAATGAACTTTCAAAAACCCATCACCGAATTTATTCAAGGCAAAGGTAAGGTTAAATTGACATATAAAAACATGCTTAATTCAATTATTGATCCATTAGAACCCTAGAGTATATTTAGGTGCATAGAACACAGGCCAACGGGAAGGAGGAAGAAAAGAACTTGCCTTTACAGTTTTGGATTCAAAACCATGTCGCCGTCTCCTAAGCTTTCCGACGATGTCCGAGTACTGTCAACTCCACCCTCTACTGCTCAGCCTTCCCTTCCCCTAAGTTCAAACCCTAAACCGCAACCAAAACCCTCACCTAGGTTACTCTGTTTTCCTCAAACCCTCTCTCTGTTTGCACTCTACAACTCTCTGTATTTTCACTGTACGTGAATAGGGTTTGAAAATAGGGTTTGTGTTTATTTTTCCAAAAACCCTAAGAAAATATAATGATGTATTTATAGAGGTTTAAGGAAAACCTAAATAGAATTCTGAAATTCTGAAAGGAGTCGGAAAAACTCGTGAGAATAAAACAAAACCCTAAAACTATAATACATATTAAATTAGGATTGATAACACCAGTTTAATTATTAATAAATACTAACAATTAAACTAACCCTATATACAGATATACTCAAATATACATGTATATACTTCCATGGGTAATACTGTACCCATCCCCCTCTTATCCGAATAATCCATGAGACCCAAACGGTTGGTCCATCACTACTATCCAAACCCCAACGTCCATTAATCAATAAAACTTAAATTTACAAATAATTCAATTAACATTAATCCAAATAAAACATATATAAATACATATTCAATTTAAAACAATTTAAACATTAAACAAACAAAACACACATAACAACAATTAAAGCAATTAACAAAGTAAAACAATTACACACTTAAATAACTAGTCACATAAAAAAAAATGTAATAAAAGTAATTGAAATTCTAATTTTATCTAATTTTATTCTTTTTAAAATTAGGGGTATTACAATATTAAACTATGGAGGTCAATTTTGTCATTTCACATGTCGGTTAACAGTTCCGTCACATAATGGGGTAAAATGATCATTCTTGCTAGGTTTGGGGGTTATTAACCCTATTATTTTCCTTGTTGAAAAGAATAAGAAATTCTTCTCAACCGAGTCTAATGACCTCAGATAGGGTAAGAGAGCATATGAGAGAGATTGTTTTGGTCCTAAATATGGTTAAAAGCATTGAATGATTTCCAGACTCATTCCAAGAATAAGATTCAACTTGCAATTTTGATCCACTGAGAACAATATAAGAACAACCATGACATGTATCGCCAAAGGGGGGAAACAGTGATTTGAATTTCGCTATGTATAGATCAAAAATTTAGCAACTGGCAAGTACAGATGCTGAGTGATGCATTTTCCAATATTGTATGTTGTGGATAGACCATCAATGCGGGTGTACAGCTGAATTTGATATTTGACTAGCTAAGAATAGCCCAAAGAATTTGATTGAACAAAATAGACATGCATAGCACCAGATTTGTAACATCAATCATACTCCTGTAGCATAACAAACTTTTGGAAATTAGATTGTGTGTGTGCGTGAGAGAGAGAGAGGGTTTTTTATTTTATTTTATTTTTTTTTCTTTTAAATTAGAAAGTGGTAGTTAAACCAATATGGTTGTCTGTTTTATGAGATTAGTAAATTTGACTGTGTCAAACACCTATCCAGACACAATGGTTATGGAAGGAGAGAAAGCAAAACAAAAGCTTTAATATTTTTCCTAGACCAGAAGAGATTAGTTTTGCAGGGTCAAGGTTTCTTGTTTCTGAGCTAATCAGAATCTTTGATTTTGAAACCTGCCCTTTAATTGGGTGTCTCTTGTTTGTCCAATGAATAAAATTTAAAAAGCATGTTTATGGACAAAAGTGAAATCTTCTCAGGATTTTACTCAACAATTTGATGGTTTTGGAATTTAGGATTAAAGTGGGAGAGGGGGGATTGAAGTCGCGGAGGGGGAGAAGATGATTTGTTTTTCGTGTTGCATGTCCAAAGAGAAAATCACTAGAAAGTCATTGACAAAGAGCAGTCACAAAGACACAAAAACAAAATATTCACCTTCCTTCACCAACATCTCCTTTAAATCCGGTAAATGTTACTGCTTCAATGAAGCTGCAGCTTTAATTCAATTCGAATGCAAGAATATTTCATTTGTGTTCTTACAAATTTTCGACTCTTCTGCCCCTAGAATTAGTGTTGGAAACTAATTATGAATTTGTAGTTGCAGAGGCCTCACCTTCTTTTGTTGTGTTCCTTCATTCTTATCATTCAATTATCTGTTCTGAGGACCGATATTGCTGATGTTTTTCATGTGATCGAATTTCTTTTATAATGCTCAAGTATCTAACTAATAGAAAGCAATTTTATTAAGGGTTTTCCTTGCTTTGTTATATGTTCTTATATCATTACTATGACTTTTCATTACGGTCCTCTAAAAAATTTTCATTCAATTTTTTTTTCCATTTTTCCCAATAATTTAACAAGATAAATGGCAAATGTGGTATGACTTGTGTTTTACACAAATTGATGATCACTATATAAATTTTTTGAAATGTCTGATACATTGTAAAATAGTGTAACATATCAGAAATATTTGTTTGAATCACTGAAACAAACTTTTTCCTTTTTTCCACAAACTTGTTTTTCCCGGCACAAAAATGAACGTATTTCATTCTGCAGATAGCAGCAGGCGGAGATACATCACCGAAGAGATATCAAAAGTCGGAAAAGGGAATATTACTGCTCAGATTTTCACATTTGAGGATCTGTCTATAGCAACTAACAACTTCGACCCTGAGTGTTTATTGGGTGAAGGAGGCTTTGGGCGGGTTTACAAAGGCCACATTAAAAGCAAAAATCAAGTATTGAGTCTAAACAAGTTGATAAAAATGTTTGCTTTGAAGTTAATTCTTAAAAATATATTCATGCATGTTTTGTTCATTTCACTCAGGATGTTGCTGTTAAGCAACTTGACAGAAATGGGTACCAAGGAAACAGAGAATTCCTTGTGGAGGTTTTGATGTTGAGTCTTCTTCACCACCCTAACCTTGTCAATTTGGTCGGATACTGTTGCGATGGCGATCAGAGGATTTTAGTGTATGACTACTTACCCAATGGTTCCCTAGAGGATCACCTTCTTGGTAGGTCCAAAACTATGGGTTTTTTTTTTTTTTTCCCAACATTCATTTAAATTGAATATATGTATCAATTAGAAGTCTTGTAAATTCTTTGAGAGCTAATGAAGGAAAATGAACAATAGGAAAATGCTTGTTTGGATGGTTACTGCATGTCATTTGCAAGTTTAACTAATTAGATGAATTTTCCATAGTTTCAGGGTGTTTTGATTCCACTTTGACCCTGAAGCTTTCACTTTCCATGTTATTATTTGGATGATTAGAATTAGAGACTTGCCACAATTAATTAGGGATTACATAACAGTAATTTTTGAATTTGTATTTACTTTTGACATTTTGAATTTAACCAAGTCTTGTTTTTGCATGTTTAGAAGCTGTTCTAAACCATGCTGTGCTAAAACTCTGGTTTTTTTAGACTTGGATTCACAGAGGAAGCCTTTAGATTGGAATGCGAGGATGAAAATTGCTCAAGGAGCAGCGAAGGGACTCGAATACTTGCACGAAATGGCTAATCCACCAGTGATTTACCGTGATTTTAAAGCATCTAATATATTATTGGATGAAGACTTCAATCCAAAGCTCTCCGATTTTGGCCTTGCCAAGCTAGGTCCAACTGGTGACAAGACCCATGTTTCCACAAGAGTTATGGGAACCTATGGGTACTGTGCGCCAGAGTATGCATTGACAGGTCAGTTAACAACAATGTCAGATGTCTACAGTTTTGGAGTGGTGTTTTTGGAACTAATCACGGGAAGAAGAGTGATAGACAATTCAAGACCAACTGAAGAGCAGAATCTAATTACTTGGGTATGTTTGAAAAACTAATAGTTTCCATAAATTATCATACTTCAAATTGTTGTATGTATTCTGAAATCTGAAATTTTCAAGTTCATCAATGTTTAAAATTCATTGAAAGTCAACCATCTCTAAGTTCCAGTAAAAAAATATTTCCAAGATGGAACTGATGCTAGAATAGGAACATTAAAAAAATTGATAGATTGTTTCCAACTGAAAGCTTTCTGAAATTCCTGTCCTTTGGAGGTCCATTCTTCTGCACACAAACACAAACAAAATCTAATGATTATTTTTTTGAAATTTTGGCCAAGTGATTAGTGAATTTTTTTTTTTTTTTTTGAAGGCGCAACCTTTGTTCAAAGACAAAAAGAAGTTTCCATTAATGGCTGACCCATTGCTTGAAGGAAACTACCCCTTGAAGGGACTCTATCAAGCTCTTGCAGTGGCAGCAATGTGCCTTCAAGAGGAAGCTACTATTCGGCCTTTGATCAGTGACGTGGTAACTGCTCTCGAGTATCTGACTGTAGGCAACAGCAACGAAGAGGTTGCAGAGAACACGGTGAAATCAGCCTCTGCTGATAGAAAGATTACTGGAGAGATTGGAAATGTTGCATCAGATTGCGTTTGGGAAAGAGATTGAGAAAACTGCTAATGAACCATTTGGGACTGTATATTATATGTAAGCTGGGATGCATTGTGAAACCAGACCCGAAATCATTAAAGTCAAATTCTAATTCTTTTTCATGATATTTGCGACATTATTGTGGATGTACAGTTCAAACTGTAACATAATTCTGAAAAATAATCTACTTGGGAAGAGTTTTAGCGCCAGTTTGAGTGTTTGCGCCAATTTCTTTTCCTAATGATATTGTTGATATTGTTTACTGTCAAGGTGAGAGTGATGCATGGATACAAACCACTGTTGCTAGTGGTACTTCTCCCCTTCGGTTGAGATTCAAGTCCCCATAGTAGTACTAAAAATGGACATGTGAGTTTCTAGAAATAGTATAATAATAATAATAATAGTAATAATAAATTGCAACTAGAAAACTGGTGGCTTTCTTTGGCGATTTTGGTGACTCGATACCCTAGGGTTTGGGTGAGGTAGGAAACACACATCACGGCCATGGAGGAGGCCTCTTCCTTCTCCATTCAACAGCCGGGAGTCTCTCCATCCCTGATTACATCTCCTCCCTTAGGCTCATGGAAGGATCTGTTTGCTTCTTCAACAAACGAGTCCTTCTTGAACCATTCTTTTGATGATAAAAGTCAAACTAGGTTAGGGATTGAGATTACAGATGAGGACGTGCAAGAGGATATTGAGCACTGGCAATCACGCTGCAGGTTGGATATGTTATGGGCAAGAAGCTCTATTACCCGTTGTAGGTACACAAAATCTCGGAACAGGTGCTAGAACTCCAATCCAAAGATCTTTGTCTACGAACACTGAGTGAAGAGCTCTAATATTTATGATTTTTCGTCATTTTTTTTTTTTTTTTTTTAAATTTTGTAATTTTTTTAGGATATTTTTTTCTTTTCTCGTTTTGGGTGTCGAACATTGTGAGGTGCGTCAGATGTGTCAGATTGCCTTTTGGGATATTTCCTTCTTAAGTTCAAAATTTTTAAAAATGCATTGGTTATCATTGCGATATTTTTAAAATTTTCGAACCGAGGAGTCTTGAACTGGACCCGCAACCGATTTTATTGTGTAGAGAGATTATTTTCGGTACCATTGCATTTCATTGTAATTCTTTAGTGCATATTTGGGAGACTAAACGTTTAATTTCAATTGTGTGGTGTGTGTATATATAGAATGGTTATGTAATAAGACAAAATAGATTTTTGTTTACCTTGGTTGGGCCCCACGTGGACTTAAAGGCTTATTATTAGGATCACAAATGGCTGGTCTCTGCGTGGGTCTACATTCTCTCACTAAAACTCATTTTCGCTCTATAAACTTAAATTTTCAAGGCCATTTTCATCTTTTTTTTCTATTGGATTTGGACCTTGCCATAGAAAACAAAACTTACAAGCTCGACGAGGGCTTCGAATTGAGCGGAGTCGATCTTCAATTGGAGCACTTTGGGTTTTTGAATTCTTGGGCTGATTTGGGGCTTTTTTTTCTTTGAATTGAAGTGACTTCTTTGATTTTGGTAAATTTCTCCCATTTTATTTGAGTATAAGCATGCTTAACTTAATTATTTTGCTTATGTCTTTGAGGGTTTTGTGTTTAATTATTTTCTATATGACTAAATGACTTAAATTACTTGTTTCTTGGAATGATATGAAGAAGCATGCTAAATTAGTAATTTATTGTTGCATTTTATCTATATAAATTTCTGAAATTTTATGTTTCTCAAAGTATGAAATGTTTCTACTATATTCAATGAATTAGATTTGTATATAAGGGCATGTTGTGATTAATTTCAAATGATGAAAATTATATATATTGGCGTGATTGTATTAAGCATGATGCATTAATGCATTCCACTGGGAAATAAAATGGGAAAATGTTTTGAAAAACAAATAGAAATTACTTCGGGAAAAATGTTTTGAAAAGGGTTTGCGAAAACCCAGGAGGTGCTTAGTGGTTCGCGGCGTTAGTGTGGTCAAGAGGGGACTAGGGAGAGACCCTAGTGTGGTTGAGCTACCTAGGCCGAATACAACGTCTTGGAATTGCCTTGTGGTCGTGGATAGTTAGTCAGTCCTCCTCTCGTGACGCCTTGGAGTCGCCTTGGTGTCATCATTAGAACTAAGATCCACGCCTTCAAATTATGATCACATTTTTTTTTTTCAACTTTCTTTGTTGAATCTTAATTTATAGTATATTAACATTTAGAAAAATTATTTTTTTAAGAATTTGCTTATAATTTATTAAAAATTTGCAATAATTTTTTTTAATAGTATTTAATTAATTGGAAACTAATTCAAGATTACATGATTGGTTATAGGGGAACCCAAATTAACCCGACTTTATAACCCAGAATTTAAGTCCGAATTGCAAACCCGAGCTTAAAAGTTGAAGGATGGGTTAGGCTTGGGTTCACTAGTTAGGGGTGAAGGTGGGTTTAGGGTTGGGCTCAGGTTGAACATTTCATATATCGGGTTGGGCTCAAGCTATATCTCCAACTTGTCTGAGTTGTAGCCCTATTAGTCACACATTGTTGTATATGTCAGGTGTCATCATTAGAACTAAGATCCACGCGTAACTCGTCTCATCGGGCAAGAGCTGGTTGAGCCCGCATGGGGTATTACTAGTTGTGGGAGAGCCTGGGTTTGGCTTCAACCTAGTGGCCCATTAGCCCATTCTACCAAGGCCATAAGTGGCCAAGGACCTAAATTTCAATAATATGAGTATATATATATATATATATTGAACCTGGTGCTTGATTAGGTTTAAAGCTCATTACAACTTGCCGCCCGGTGGTTGGGTTGCTACTTGTTCGCGTTGTCTTTGGGAGCCCAATTTTGAGCTTGACACCTTTAACTTCTAATCTAGCATTCGTGACTTGAAAAAAAAAAAAAAAAAAAAAATTGTTTTCTTAAAAAAAAAAAAAAAATTAGAGTAGAAATCGACAATCTTTTGTTGAATAATTTTTTGATCGTCATCAGTCCTAGTATCATCATCTTGCTATGGTAGAACAATAGAATTGGCTTCTCTATGTTTCATCACCTTCTGGAAGAAGTATTTAGTACATTTGTTGATTATTGGACTACAACCAATCGCATTTGGCCTTTTGATGTATCTGGAGACATGAAATTTATTTTTAGAGAACTATAGAAGACAATTCTCTCCAAACTTTTTTTTTTTTTATTTGATTATTTAGAAAATAATTCCCAACGAAACAATTTTTTTTGTACAGTTTCAATTTTCAGAAAACATAAATTTGTTCTCACAAAATTGAACCAAGTATGCCAATTTTTTTCATTGACTTACCTTGCCAGAAAAGAAAAGAAAAAAAAGTAATTGCTTTGAAATTTGGTCATGTCACACCAATGACCCTGTAATGGCCTTGTCCACCAGCTCTATTAATTTGCTTCTTTCCTATAAATTTAACGGTTTATCTTCATCTTAATTGAATTCTGAGATAAAGATTAATTTGTTGGCATGTGCAAGTAAGAAGCTCGTGGAAGCAATCCAACCCATAGACTTGAAAGTCAGCACTGAGGCACACACAGACAAAGCCTAACAAGCAGTTAATCACAACTATATAATAGGAAAATCAATCACAAATGTCCTTTAAAACATTATTTCCAACAATTGATCCCTTGTCTCTTAACTTGTTATTGTTGTGGTTTTGTAGAGTCTGATCACGTGTCAATTACGTGAAGAATTTAAGAGGTTAAATTTGTTGATTAGGTTCAAGTATAGCGTTGACTTTGGCTACTCCCATAGTTCACTGCAATTAATTTGAAGCCAAACAATGTTCATATGGATGACAACACTTTGAGATATCAAGATTCCTTCTTGATGCTAACCAAAATGATAACAGAAGTCAAACTAGTTCTATTGGAATAAGAGGATCTGTTGGTTATATGCCTCCAAGTAATTACATTTCATGTTATGTTTCTCTTTTCACTCCTCTAATTGATTTATATTTACAATGTTTTCAAATAGCAAAATATGTAGAAAAAATACAAAGTACATGTGTAACTCCATTTTCTTGCCAAAAAAAAAAAATACATTATTTCTAATCAGAATGTTTGATAAATTATAATTAAAAGGTAAGACCGAAGGTACGATGAAAAAAAATAGTAATTTCTAAAACTAGGATTGAAGTTTGATGAAGTTAATAAACTTTAGGTTTGGGGGGGGGGAGGGAGTTAAGGTGTGTAACTTGTGATCACAGCACATTTTCTAACATAGTTATCATTTAATGTTTGTGCACCCTGGATGCTAGAATTTTATTTTTAAAAAAGTAACTCCTCCTGAACCTAAAACAATTCATATGGACTTCTCTGAAATTTGTTTACTTTATGCTAATGATAAATTATGTTATCTAATTTTATCTTAAAGAAATTTAATTTAACCAACTCCCTTACATTATGCAGAATGTAGAATACGGTATGAGAAGTGAGGCGTCAACATCTAGTGATGTATACAATTATTGTAACGATCCCCGGATCGCTAACCGGGTAATAACCAGACCCGTGAAGATCCAAGGGTAAAATGGTCTATATGAGCCGAACATGCATTAGAAGTCCAAATGAAGTTGTAATGGTCATTTCTAATCATTTTAGTTCATTTGTGAATGAAATAAACAACTCCGAACACTATTCGGTTCACTTAGGGTTACAAGGGTAAATTGATCTTTTGGACCATATGACTCATTGGGGACTTTATAACTGTCATCTAGGCCATATCTAGTCATTTAGATTCAATTGTAAACTAAAGAAAACAATGCGTAGATTTGATATCGCCCGCTTTAGGGCTAAACAAGGTAAATATGCCATTTCCAACCACTCTGCTCGTTTCCCAGCGAGGCCATAGTGATCTAAGCCTGCGAAATACCTTATACGACCCACACGAAGAGTTTCGGAACCATCGAAAAAGGTAATAAAAAAATAATGCCTGTTCCCTAATTGTGAGCGCTCGAGGCTTGTCCTCCGATTGCTCGAAGGACACCCTGAGCATCACTGCATGATAAGCGCCGAATATTGCATATTCAAGCGCCCTTAATTCCATTAGTTAAGCCCATTATTCGATCTTTGTATATAGATTATCTTCATTTTTGTGTTTTTGTGTTGTTGCAGGTTTAATTGCCAAAAAGAAATAAAAATAAGGTTTTAAGGGTTTTTGAAGAACAAGTTATATCGGGCCTAAATATCAAGTGGTTTTCAAGAAGAGATAGCCCAAATATGCAACTGCAAAAGAGAAGAAAAAAGCCAAGTATCATCACTTCGCGTCCGAACGTCAGCTCTCGCGTCCGGACGCCATTTAGTAGACCTCGCGTCCAAATGCCATGCTTCGCATCCGAACGCCAGCCTATGGGCCCCCATTTTGAATAAGTCAAAGTTTGTTCCCTTTTAAGTGGGACTTTGAATTTTGACGAGTTTGGTTGTTTTGAAACTCATTTTTTGGATTAAGAGGGGGCAAAAACTTAAATTTAATTAATTAGTTTTGGATTCTAAAAAGATATTGAGAGAGAGATGATTTTCCTTAAGGTTTTTCTATACTAGTTTTTGCAACAATGGGGCGGTAAGGAAAATCTTTCTCTTCTTCAATCATTGAAGTTGCTACTATGTCCATGAGGAACTAACTCCCTTCCTAGGGATTTGATGTAACCTAGACCAAGTAAATATGTTGTAATTGCTATTTCAATTTGGAAATTCATCTTGTATATATTTGATTTCATAAATTAGAAATTGTTTACATTGAATTGATGTGTTTTTACATTGAATTAATGTATGTGATTTTCATTTGAATATATAGTTATGTTAATATGTTTATCTTGTCTTAAAAATCATATTGGCACAATTATACACTTGATTTCTTATAGTGACAATGGGAATGAATTTATGAAATGATTATATCATGTAATTGAAAATTTATATAGATTATACTTAAGGAAGATGGATCATGCTACACCTTTAGATTAATATAGTTAAGTAGATGATTCATACTAACTGAAGATAATTTATGATAGATAATTGATTTTCATGTGCTGCAACATATAATTAAAGGACCTTGATAGGCCATGCCTAGGGAAGATGGTTTATACCACAACCTAGTTTAAGTGGATGAACTATGCCAACCAAAGATGTGTTATGCTTAGTCTTGAAATGTATGATCTTCTGGAAGATGTTATGGTTGTTTTATACTGTACACATTATTGTATATACAGAGTTGTTTATCCCCAAGTTGAGTGCAAGTTAGCATGTTTATGAGGTTTTGGTGAAGTCAATTCCCTAGCCTTCTCTCTACAAGTTTAATCCATTTTATTCATTTTATTTACTGCTTTTATTCAATTTTAATTCATAGTTTGAGTGACAAATCAATTAAACTATCATCTCTTTTATCAAACTAAAAAGTAATTTTACAATTTTGGTTGCCATAAACTAGTAATCATTGTGATTCAACAACCCCTTACTATAGCATTATTCTACATTGATATATGTGCTATTGTTATAAGTGGTAATTTTAAAGTGGTACGCATTTGTAGCCGTGAACTTTTGGCGCCGTTGTCGGGGATTGCATACGGTTTTGTAATCAAAGTTTAAAAATTGCTTTGTGTTTGATTGTATATATATTTTTATGTTTTTGATGTTTTCGTGTTACTAAAAACGAATGACTTTCCAGGTGAACTGATTGCAAAAATTTGAAGTCTTAAAGACTTTGGGTAAGTTTTTGAAGTTTCTAATATATTCATTGTTTGGCCCTTGTCGAGGCTATTACAACTTTCTGCTTTATCCAGAGCATAGGTCCTTGTCATGACCATTTCAATCTGTTTTCATTATTTTTGAATTAAGGAGAAAGGGATCAATGTATGTGGATGTATTAGTGAAGGATTGTTGTGATTGTTGTATTTAATAGTTGATGGTAAGTCGTAGGTCGTCGTCTGTACAACATCTTGAGGAACCAATTGATATTGTTTTACATGAAAGGACTCTTAGACAGCAAGGAAGGAACCTTAGGGATCCCGAAACTATAAGAGAACTTGAAATTGAAGTAGACAATATGGCTGATGCATAAGCCAATCTTGAAAATACTAATCTTGAAAATCCTAGAGTCGAAAATCCTATAGCTGAAAATAAAAATGTAGCCCAAATAACTCTTAGGGATCACTTTGTACCCTCTACATATACATCTCCATCATGCATTGTCATGCCAAATGTTAAGGCTCATCATTATGAGATCGAATCTACCACAATCCAAATGCTTCCAATCTATCATGGGTTTGATAATGAGGACCCTTACAAACATCTTGATGAGTTCTTGGATATCTGCTCTACCATCAAGATGAGGGACTTCCCCCAAGATGCACTTCATATGATTCTCTTCCCATTCTCTTTGAAAGATAGAGCAAAGTATTGGTTGAACTCTTTTGTTGTAAATTCCATCACTTCGTGGGTACAATTGCAACAAGAATTCCTTAAAAAGTACTATCCTGTGAGTAAGACCAATCAAATGCGTCGATCCATTCTTAGCTTTTCCCAAATTGATTGGGAACAATTTTATGAGATGTGGGAAATACTTCAGATTTTCTGAGGAAGTGTCCAAATTCCAAAGCGACAATTAGTGCAAGCCTTCTATGATGGATTAAGAGAACCACATAGACAATTAATTGAATCTTCGTTTGGGGGCATGTTTATGTCCAAAAATCCAGATGATGTATGGACTCTACTTGAGAATATAAGCAAAAATTCTATGCAACATAGTTCTCGTAGAGCTTCTACTTCAAATGTGGTTAAACCCTCAAATCCATGCCAACCATGGACTTTTAGGGAAGAATCTTCTCAAGTAGATGTCATAGCCCACAAAGTTTTTCAGCTTGTGGCACCACATCTCTCATTTTCTCAGAATTCTTCATCCGATGCTATATGTGCACATTGCACAAGCACTTTTCATAGTGCAACACACAGGAGCAATTTTCTGGAGGTATGCCAGAACAGGCCAATGTCATGTTCTCTCACCCTGGAAATAATCCTTATTCCAATACATATAATTCAGGTTAGAGAGATCATCCAAATTTCTCGTGGAGGCAACAAGCCCCACAAAGTTCATCATTTCAAGGTTATGGGCAATTAACTCAATCTAATTCTCAGTCCATGAACCAGCCATTTCAAGCTTCTTCAAGCTATCATCTTCCATCCTATAATGCGAGTTCTTCTAATCAAAATCATGCTCTTCCTCAATAGTCCCAATTGGATGAGCTAGTAAACTCCAATAAGTAGATAATGGCTGCCATTAGTGGTATGTAATCAACTGTGCAATTGGCTAGTACTCATTCTTAATCAATAGCCAACATTGAAACCCAACTGGGACAATTGGCTAATTCTATGAATCAGCTTCACAAGAGGGACATGGGGAAACTTCCAGCTCAACCTGTGGTGAACCCAAAAGGGCAATATATGATTGATGAAATCACTCCTCCAAGTGGATCAAATCTTGAGCAAGTTCAAGCAATCACTACACTTTGGAGTAGAAGAATTATGGACAATAAAGTCGATGAAAAAACTGAAACTCTTGCTCCCAAGAATTTAAGTTTTTCATCAAAAAATCTAAAAGTTAGTTCAGAAATTCCAAATCTGCCAATCCCAAATATTGAGACATCTTATGAGCCCAAGGCTTCTTTTCCTCAATGCCTCATAGAATCCACACACTTTGGGAAAAAGGGCGATAAAATTCAGAAGTAAAGATCAACATTCCCCTCCTTGATGCCATTAAGCAAATTTCACCATATGATAAATTTCTTAAAGATTTGTGTACTCAAAAATGCATTTCTAAGAGTAGTACTCCCAAGAAGGTGAGGTTAACTGAGCAAGCAAGTGCTATTATTCAACATAATACACCTCCAAAGTTTAAGGATCCTGGTGCCCCGACAATCTCGTGTGTCATTGGAGACAATGAGATAGAAAAGGCCCTCCATGACTTAAGATCAAGTGTAAATCTTATTCCTTACTCAGTATACTTGTAACTTAGCTTAGGAGAACTCAAATCCACTTCGGTTATCTTGCAACTTATAGGTAGATCCGTAAAATAACCTCGTGGTATCATTGAGAATGTACTCATCAAGGTGGACAACTTCTACTTCCCTATAGACTTCGTGGTTCTAGATACTGAACCAGTCCATAATCCAATAAAACAAATTCCTGTGATCCTTGGTCGACCTTTCTTAGCTACGGCCAATGCTTCCATTAATTACCGAACTGGGGTGATGGATATTTCTTTTGGAAATATGAAGGTGAAACTAAACATCTTTAATGCTTCTCAACATTCTCAGGAGGAATATGAGTCTTTCTCTCTTGACATCATTGATGAAATGGTCAAAGAATCTCTCCCATTTATTTTAAGTCAAGATCTTCTTGAAACTAGCCTGGCTCATTTTGACTTCGAAATTTACGATAGTGATCAATCCATTCGTGAAGTCAACTATTTGCTTGATGCCAATGCAATCTTGGACTTTCCCTCTTGGAAAGTGCCAAAGGAACATCTTCCATTAATTTCCAGCACTCCTCCCATCCCTTCGCTGAAATCTCCACCTCAACTTGAGTTAAAGCCACTCCCGGTTAATCTCAAGTATGTATTTCTTAGTGTAAACAAAACTCTTCCAGTCATTATTGCATCAGATCTTTCCAAAGACCAAGAAAATAGCCTTTTAGCAGTTCTACAAGAGCACAAAGAAGCTATTGGTTGGTTGGTGGCTGATTTAAAAGGAATTAACCCCTCCATTTGCATGCACCGCATTCTTTTGGAGGATGACGCGATAACTTCCCGAAAGGTGCAGCGCCGATTGAATCCTAACATGAAGGAGATTGTCATGAAAGAGGAAATCAAGCTATTAGATGCGGGGATCATCTACCTATCGTGTCTAATTTTACCACTCACAACAGAATGATTCTGTGTAGGATAGCTGCCACGACCCGAAAATTCTATGAAAATCCTCAATTTATACAAGTCCAAATACATCAAAATACACCCAAGATCATAAAAAAAAAATGCCCTCTTTTATACAAAGTCAATTTCCTCAAATACACCAAAAATCTCTATATAAAAAAAAATTAAATCTCGCAACGCCAACTCTTCAGCCTAAGCTCAAATCTAGCAATCCCCGTTCATCTTCGGTACCTGAAACTAAAGGGTGGTAAGACAAAAAGTCCCATTAGGAAAAACCATAACAAGAATTTCATGGAGGTTTAACAAAAACAGCTTCACAAGATAAACATAATCAAGTGAGTATAAAAAAATATATATGCATTTAATCAAAACATTTAATAAAATCCATTTGAAGCAAAACCACTCTAAGCCATTCAAGGTATAGAGAACCCTACACTAAAAAATAAATATTTCCTCACTGGATCATCAAGTCACCAAGCTTCCAACCTCCTCTGCAACCTCGGCTCCTCAATCCTTCCTCTAATTTTTTTTTCGTCTTTCTGTCTCTCAAACTCACTCTCTCAATCTTCTCTAATTTTTCTCATCTGTCTTTGTATTCACTCAGTGCACAACTCTTTCAATTTATAATGGCCTCCACCGATACAATACAACTGCCCACCCATCGCGTCTCCATCAGACAAACCCAAACAGACCACCCACGTGAACAATTCAAAGGCAAAAGCAAATTTGACCAAAAATCCAAGTGGGTCCCCACATCATCATTATATATTATCATTTCAATTTCCTTTTCTATCTTTTCCTTATCTTTTTCTTAACAAAGCA